TGTTTCTTCTTTCTTACTTGTCTTGCTAGCCATTTCCCTGATCTATTCGCATTTTCAAAAGATTGTTGTTTTGGAAACTTCAACTGTCTTGCCTGTCTTTCCATTTCCAAGCAAGACTTCTCTTGATTAAGTCTTGCTAATTCTTTATTCAATTTTTTACACTGTGGTTTCTTTTTTAGCTCTGTTTCTTTATTAGCAATCTTATTCATCAATTCTTTCATGTTTTTATTTCTGTGTTTATTCTTCCTGGACCCATGTTGAATAAAGCATCCTCTCAAAACCGCTTTGAGGGCGTCCCAAGTCACTTGTATTTTTGTCTCCTCAATGTCATTAATTCCTAGATACTCTTGAACGATTTTATTATAATGTAGTTTATCTTCTTCCGTTTTAATCAAATTTTCGTTTAATCTCCATTTCCTTTGAAAACTTTTATGATTAATTAGTATTTCTAATGGGCAGTGATCCGAAACGTCTCTAGGTAATATTTCCATCTCCACAATTTTAGTAGCTATTTTTTTTGTTATCCATGCCATATCAATCCTTGACCATGTTTGATGTCTATGTGAGTAAAAAGTATAATCCTTTTTTTCTCATTCTTTCTTCTCCACGTATCTTGCAGCTCAAATTCTTTTTGTAAATCAAAAAACTTTTGGGGTAAAACACTGTTTCCTCCCCTTTTTTGCAGTTTATTCTTATCTTTTTGTTTGTCCATCACACCATTGAAGTCTCCTATCAATAAAAGTTCATCAAATTCTGTTTCTCTCAATTTTGATTGTAAAAATTGAATAAATTTAGTCTTTGGGCCATTTGGCGCATATATATTACATACTAGTATTTTTAAATTTCCCAGTTGAATTGTTACCGCCACACATCTTCCTTCCAAATCCTTGAATGCCAATTCTGGTGTTAAATTTTCCTTTATGTATGTTACCACACCCTTCTTCTTTTTTTCATCCGATGAATAAAATGTCTTTCCCAATTTTTTATTTTCTAAATGTGCCACATGTTTGTGGCAGATATGCATTTCTTGTAGCAGGATGATGTCCCAATTTGCTTTCTGTAATTTATTCCACACTTTTTTGCGTTTCTGGGGTG